TGGTTGTTTGTACAATCTCATATTGTCTCGGAAATCTATTTATTACTATACACTAAAAGCATGATATGGATCTAACGTTATTCATAAGCCACATTTTATCAATTTATATTAGTACAAAACAAAATTGAAGAGATATATATGAGTTACCGTTGATGCTAAGCTAGATGCTCTTATATGAATGATTTGTTTTTCTTGTTGCCCTTTTTAGAAGGGGTTGTAGTATTCTTTTATTTCGCACAAGTGTTGTTTTATGTAAAGCCTGGAATGTGGCTAAAATACTAATCTTTCAATTATTTATTAGTTATATATGTCTAATGTTTTTACAAGCCTATACAGTGTCAATTCTTTGGTTCGCTTTTGACCTGCAATGTCTTCATCTGAGTGACAAATATTATGGATTGTACAACTGTTTACGTGGCTATAGAATATCCACATCATCCCATGTCAGAATATAAGGTACATACATGTTTTACCCACAAAAAAAAGGTACATACATGTTTAGATAACTGCTAAGTTTTCCATGATGCTTGGATTTTAAGAATTTGCTCGTGTGATTTGTTTATATCAACAAGAGCATGAGACCCACAAATAGCCAAGATAACAAAATACATCACTTCAACATTTGCATTTTTTTATTTCCGTCTGTCCTTTCATGTGTGATGCTACCTATTGCATGCACCTACATTGGACACAAAAGATATATTTTTTTTGACTAACATTTGTTGTAACTGGACAATATTTGCTACATTTAGATAGAAACACTACTGTTGTGTCAAATATGTCCCAATTTGGTACAATATTACTTCAATTATGTACCTCCTAGGTATACATGTGTGGCGTATATTCTGAAATGGAGGCAATATATATTATAGTATGACATCAAGCAAATAGGTTAGAGAAATCATTTATCTTAATAAGTTGATGCATGTCATCTGCTGGACCAATGCTAACATGTTTAAATCATCAAGTATTTAGTTACGAGTCATGTTTGTCTAATTCTAGACATTTGTTTTTTTATGGCTCATAAGTTTCTACAATAATGCGAATTACACTATTCTATACTATGCATTATTATTGATGTATATAAGCTTTGTTAATCTTCTGCACTTCGATAATTATTTTATGAAGTGGAGCAATGATGTCAATTCGACGTAGACATACAACATTCATTCAATAAACCCTTCCAACCTCGGATGACTTGATCACCATGGCATACACCTGTTCTGGCCATCAGAGTTAGTCAATTGTTACTTTGTGAGCTCATTTATGGTCTTAATTTGTACTCCCCCCGTCCCAAAATATAAGACATTTTTACAAGCTATGCTAGCTTGCAAAAACATCTTATATTATGGGACGGAGGGAGTAGGTTTTATTGTTGTCATGTCCTATAAGATAAAACAGTTTAAGTTACATGTTGTTCTACAATTTCTCATATGTAGTTGTCAAATCTCATTGTAAACAATATTTTTTGCCTTCATCTACTTTAGCATAGCCTTACATGTCTTACCCATATTGAAGTATTTTATTAAAAATCCTTTGTGATTTACTTTACATGTGTAAAAGAATTCGAAGCATCTTTATTTTTTTGAACTGTAATGGCACTTCACCTTTTGTCATTTTATTAAATGCCTCAGATGTGAGATTGAGATTTTTGTAGTGAATGGAGCACTAATAAGCAGGTAGGGCTGTGAGGAAGTTAGAAGGAGGTCTGCTCAGGTTCTAGAGAGGAAGGTTGCAAGCAGGGTAAAACAGATAAAAAAAATAAATGACAGGAAAAATGATCAAATGTTTGAATTCATCTAAATTATGAATAATAGGCTTATAGATATAAATTATAACACTCCTGTCAAAATTGGAGTACTAAAATACATGCATCAACATTCTCATGTAAGAACTTGAATAATAAGAAATTAAGTTATTGCCCGCGCAAATTATTGAGACATGCCAAAAGGAACTAACTTCACTAATTTGGTTCAAGTTGTTTTTCTAATTTGTTACAATGTATTCATATGCAAAACAGTAATGGTCAAAGCTTCCCCGCAAAAAAGAAGAGTAATGGTCAAAGCTGCATCTTTTGAGACCATGCATGTTGCATGCCTAGAGCATTATGTTTTAGAATGGGGAAAATAAAGGGGAGGGAGCTATTTTATTGTCTTACTTCGCAACAAGGGTAATTTTTCTTTATTAAACTTCATAAGCAATCGAAGATCTTTATAACAAATAAATCCCAAACATATATTCATATGAGGTTCCATGTTTTTAGGCATGATTATTATATACAAGCACATTGATAGACATGGGAAAAGGAGAATCTTTTGTGCAAAAAGGGAAATGAGAATCGATTGAATGTCACAAAATAGCAATAATGTTTCACCGCTACAAATTCTAATACTTACATTTTTCGATCAGATGTACTACCTCCGTCTGGGTTATTGATCCCCTTCGTATTTTGTGTCAAATTTTGGTCGTAGATTTGACTAAAAAATATAAGTTGTATGTCACAAAACTTATATTGCTGGATGCATATTAGAAAGAGATATTCAATGATACTATTTTTGGTGTATATAACTTATTTTTTGGTAGTTAAATTAAAGGTCAAAATTTGACCCAAAATGCAAGAAGGGACTAACAACCAGGACGGAGGTAGTAGTAGCAGTAGCACGTTAAGCATTTTGCATCTGAATTGCATTTGGATTACTCGAGTAAATACTTCCTTTTAGTAGGCTTTGAAGCTGATAATGTCAGGGCTAATCAGCAGAGCTCCTGCCAAATTTTTCTTTGAAGTACAGAAGAATATAGTTCGTTACAACCCTACTACTAGCTTATTTGTCTAAAAATTAAAGAAAGGGGAACATTTGAGAGCATAGCCATTCATAATTCAAATCCAGTATTCTGCAAAAAAAAAAAGGAGTGTAGTGTTTTTGAGCCCTTGCTTAATGGAACTTAACTTCAGTTTCTCACATCAAAGCTATTTGACACTTTCCAGAGCCCCGGGAGTAGCCCAATGCCTGAATCATGTGTTGCAACTTGCAACTTCAAACATCTTCCTCATGCCGCCCTTCAACAGCAACAGATTTAGGAGTTCCAGCTGAATCTTTGAGCTCAGTTACTTTAGAACCACTGCCAAATGTGTCATAACTAGAATCATCATCCAGAGTTTGGGCCTCGGTAACCTCCAGTTCAGAGTTGAGCTCGGATGGCTTCAGCTCCACCTCAACATCTTGAGACATCTTCCCCTTGTCATGGCCAGAGATTAACTGCTCGAAAGCAGAGCCGGCATCTTCGACGGGCTCTGTTTCAAGACCTAGCGTGCCAGAAGCACTCCCTCCTGTACCTTGAGCAAGCTTGTGCTCTGAGCTATGATGCATCTGGTCCTGCACATCTTCGAGTGTATTGAATAGCCTTTTCATCTCTTCAGCTGAGGTCACCTCAATAACATGGAGCCTAGAAGTACCTGCGAACTGCTGGTTTTCTTCTGCAGTTGATAGCTCTCTGGACCCATTTCCAACTGGGACTTCTGAAGTATGCTCATCTGCAGCAAGAAATGCTTCTTCACTTGACTTTTCTTGAACCGGCTCAACATCCCAAGCGTCATATGTCAGTACTTCGTGATTGATTTGTACAAATTGTGAATTTAATTCTTCAACTGAACTCGCTTCAATGGCATGCATCCCGGGGTTTGGACATAACGCCGGGTCACTCGAGTCATCTTCAAGTGTAACTGTCAAAGGTTGCCCCATAACGGGCTCTGAAACGGACTGCACTAGCACTTCCTCCATGCGGCTCCTGAATAACGAGTTAACTTCATCGATGGAATTCGCTTCGACGACATATTGCTCAGAATTATTTACTTTGGATAGACAGCATAGCACTGATTGCTCACCGCCTGCAAGATATTATCAACCTTAGTTGAGCAAAGATTTCCAATAGGAAAAAGTACATTATATTTATTCGTCTGAAAGCCATAACAAATTTACCTGGATGAACTGAAACCTCCGCTTCTGAAGTGCTGGATTCATTTTTCATGGTAGGAAATGAATTTATATCATCACTGGAATCAGCATTGTTATTGCCTTCATGCATCCCGTAATCTCCTTTCAACACACCAGCATCTGAAATTACTGGGCTTAGTATTTTGATCTCTTCACCTAAATGTGCTTCCTGTGAACAAGATAACCTCCCATCATTCCCTTGCTTAGCAGCATCACTGTCCGAGTGACTACCAAGGGCATCTTCTCCACCAATTTCACCTTTCTCCGATTTGAGGCCACTGCGACACGGATTAGCGGAGTGCCGTCCATGGAAGTTTCCATGCTTTCTAAGCTGTGTTGCTGGAGAGTACGAGCGAGGAGTCCAAGTTTCTTCCAATTGACTGTTATGGTCCACAATATGGTCAGAAGGAAGATCAAATAGGCTTCCCATAGGCAGGAGGACAGATGGTGCTGAATCAGGTATCTGGGGTAACTCTATCACTTCCCCTTCCCCTGAGGCATTTGAAGGATCATATGGTTGCCCTCTTGGTGTGGAAATGGAAGGAACCTGGACAAAGAAACGGGATGCCTCCTTCAATTTCTGTGTTGCATCAGCGGTTTGCAAGTCCATTAGCCTCTGATCGAGTTCAAACTTCAGGATATTCTTTGCTCTCTGCAGCTCCATCAGACCATCGGCCCTACCATTCTTTCGTATGACATCCTCCTGATCATTTCCATCATCTTTCTCCTCTTCCTCTCCTTCATCTTCATCGTCCGAGATACTGTCGTCATCGTCATCCTCCTCAAGGTCACTCTCATCGTCATCTGATGAAGAATTCAAGTTGTCCCTGGACCTGGAGGCCAAGGTGGGGTGACCAGTCCCCAAGTCTATCAGTGGGTGCAACTCTTCAAGCATTGGGATTATGTCGGTCATGGATGCATCAGGAGAAGAACTGTCATCAGTAAGATCAGATTCAGAACCATAACAAGGATCCTGCCGGTCAGCAGACTGCCAGCAGGGACTCGTGGGTTCACCAAACTGATAATGATTGTGTACTTCATAGTCACCTCTTTCATTATTGCTGCTCTCAAATTCTTGCAGATCAGACTTCTCGCTGATTTGCTCACCATATCCTTCTCTTCCCATGATGACATTGCTCTGGGCATATTTAGAAGACTCCGTGCTAAGCACAGTATCAGCTGCCAGAAACATGACATTTGTTTCTTCGCAGTGATTGTCATGCGTGTTATTGGCCGGGGCTCTCTCCTCGACATATACTCCTGCACTGCCGGTTCTCTTCTCCAAGCAAGTCTCGATAGTAACACTCTCAACCTCCTCGGTCGAGCAGTCAGCAATGGAATTTTTGGACTCCGGGGTCAAAGTTTGTTGATTATCAGAGTCTCCTTCTGCAGTCACTGAGGGGGTATTTGGTTCACCATAACTCAAAAGGGCTCCGAGAAGAAGTCCGGTTAACAGCAGGAGGGGAGAGGAAGACACTAGGAAAGCAAGTAGAGGAGGGCAAATCCTATGTAGTAGCAGCAACAAGATCCCAGCACCGAGTACCATAGGATAATCACAAGAAGACTGATAAGCAACTGCGAAAGAGGAATGCAATATTCTCTTAGCGTGCAGAACGAGATCGTCTGTGCCGAGATCCTTAGCCATCTGCTTAAATTTGTCCATTAAACGCATTCCTGGCATGATAATAGGAAGCAAGAAGCAGATCATTAGCCTGGGTATAATTCGGGTACTAGTATTATAAAGCATGCGCAGATGAATTGAGCTCATGATCTAGTGAAAATGTTTGTTATCTATCTGTTTCTGATGCAGTGATGCCTATTGTTGAAGAACACTCTGTATACTAGTACACTAACAATGAACGTTGATAAGAAACATCACTTCCTACAAGATGAAATGGGCCACAAATTTTGTGGTGGCCTTTTTGGTGATGAGGCCGACGACGTTCTTCATTAACCAGATGACTTCTAAAATCATTTTTTGCTTGCGAACGTCTACAGGTGCCGACCTAAGACAGGAGTAGAAGAAACTCCAGTTTGCGGAACAGACTGGCAGAAATTACACAGAAGGAAACAAAGATCCATCACAGCATAGGCGTAGTGCTTTCACCGAACAATAGCAAACCAGCAACGGCACTCAACGAAACCAGCAGCATGCACAGCACAAGAAGCGTCCCTGGGTGAAGGATGGGCTCTCACCTGCATCGACGTCGACGACGGCGAACAGCAAGAACCAAAATCTCCTAGCGTCACAGGCGCAGATGCATGCAGTGGAGAAATGGTGGCAACCACATGGAACTGGATCGAACAAGTAAAGAAGCGAGACCAAAGCAAGGAAGGAAGCTGCAGTGCGGTGCACTGGGGAGGCTCCTTTTTCCTGTGTCTGGATCCCTTGCTTTGCACTTGCAGCACCACCCTTGACAGACAAAAAATGCTTTAGTCGGCACCAAAAGGGAGCCCTGAGGCATCTCACCCTGTCCTGGAGATCATGGTGTGAGGAGAAAGTTACTCAGGTGCCATCATAACAGTACATGACATGTCCAAATGTACTAGTAGTACAGAGGTTGATCACCTACCTTTGTCCATCATGAAGCAATGCTAGGAGATCTCGGCTTACTTTGTTTTTTGTTTTTATTTCCCCTTCTCTTTATGCTTGGTAGTACAATGATGGAACTGTGAGCTTCTGAAATGGCGGCATGTGCTCAGCGACCTTTTCCTGTGGGGCGAGGGCGTGGCGTGCTGGATGCGTATCATTGCTCTGCTAGATCCACAAACTACAGTGGCATAAATGATATTGAAAAAAGGGTAAAGTTAAGGCCTCCTTTGGTTCATAGGATAGGATTATCATAGGAATAGGAATCTTGTAGGAAATGAGATAACATGTATCTCAAATTCTATGATTAGGAATAGGAAACAAGATGTCATTTGGTTGACACCAAAGGAATTTTTCCATTGAGTCTAGGCTCTTTTTTATTTTCCTATGAAATGTGGAGGATAGGAACCAATCCTATGTAGGAATAGGAATCCATTCCTATGAACCAAATGGCTCTAAAGGAAAAAATCCAATAAGAATCCTATCCTCTAGAATTCCTATGAAATTCCTCTAAACCAAAGGAGGCCTAAGTGAGAGATGGAGAAAGTAAACTACTCGGCTCCTCCTTTCACTGTTGCCTTGTGTAATTCTCAATCCTGCCAAAGAGTTTCATTCATTTTTTTTAAACGGAGGCAAAAGATTTGCCTCATCTATTAATTAAGATAAGAAGAGAGTTTGTTACAGAAGTCACTCTTACACGGCATGAGTGATTACTCGCATAAAATAATAGCCCCTAATTTCTTTGCACCGGCAGTGACCCAAAGGTTTGCCTCGCAAATGATGAAGTTGAGCAAGATTGTTGGCGGAGCGCTCTTCTGTCGAAAAACACGGGCATTCCTCTCATTCCAAGTGGTCCATGACACGAGTATGGTAAGAGAGGCCATAGCCTTCCTATTGGGGACTCCGGCACCGGTTATATTTGTCCACCACTCCTCTACCGAATCATGTAGCTGCCAAGTAGCAGTGTCCAAGTGGTGAAGGCCGAATTTCGCGATGACCGAGTTCCATAGCCGAATGGTGTATCGGCATTTGAAGAAGAGATGTGGTCCACTTTCTTGATCTCTCTTGCAGAGAGTGCAAAGCCCGCAGTTTGACCATCCCCGCTTTGCAAGCCTATCCGCAGTCCAAATTCTATCTTGGATAGCCAATCAAGCAAAGAATTTAGCCTTTGGCGGCGCCCAAGCCTTCCAAATCATTTGATCCATGGGGGAGACGACCAATCCTAGAAATTGGGCCTTGTAGGCGGAGGCCGCAGAGTAATGCCCGCTTGTCGTGTGCTTCCACACAATGGTGTCTTTGGCATGTCCAACAAGGTGGACATCAATTAAAAGCGCCCAAAGAGTGAAGAATTGCCGGATGTGTTCAACTGATACGACCGTGGAGGTATTGATTTTGATGATCCACGCATTATTTTTTAGAGCCTCGCGCACCTTCCAATTCTTCCTCGAGGAGGCCTCAAAAATGAGAGGAGCGACATCCTTGGGCTTGCCTCCATGAAGCCAAGGGGAATCCCAAAAAGGTGTTTTAGCACCATTCCCCATGGTGATGGTTGTGGATGCATAGAAGAAGTCAAGGTCCTCCTCGTCACATGGGTTTCCCAATCCGACCCACATCTTGTGAGGCGCCGTCCATTCAAACCATGGCCACCTCAAACGCAAGGCCCTCGCAAATTTGTCAGTGTTGAGGACCCCTAGACCACCATATTCATGCGGCCGACAGACAATCTCCCAATTCACCTTGCACTTGGCACCCGTCGTCTTGTCCGATCTGGACCAAAGGAAGGCTCGCTCGAGTTTGTTGATGCTTTGAAGAATGCTCGGCGGTACGACCAATGGCGTGATGAAGTAGATCGCTTGAGAGGTGATGACGGACTTGACAAGGGCAGTGCGTCCACTGGTGGTGATATTTTGTCCATCATAGGTAACCAGCTTGCCCGCAACCTTGTCCACAAGGAATTGCCAATCCACCAACTTAAGCTTCCAGACGGATAGAGGAAGGCCCAAATATCTTAAGGGGAAGGACGCCCTTTTCGCCGGCAAGCTTTGAAGGATGTGCTCTAGATTAAGGTGATTGCATCGAATGGCCACAACAGAGCTCTTTTGGAAATTGGTGCATAGCCCGGTGACCTCCCCGAATCCGCTCAAGATGGCTGAGAGGTTGTCAATATCATTTTTAATTGGGGCCATGAAAATGGCTGCGTCATCTGCATAGAGTGAAGTTCTCACCATGACCCCTCTCCCCCGCACCTTGTGAAGTAGCCCTTTTCTGGTTGCCAACTCAAGCAGTTGTTGGAGTGCATCAATTGCAATGACGAAAAGGAGCGGGGATAGGGGATCCCCTTGCCGAAGGCCCCGACCATGCTTGATGGGGTGGCCGGCCACACCATTCAGTAGGATCCTCGA